AGTACCTACCTGTATCAAACAGTTATTGCTGACATTTTGCAGAAATATACTCAATTGCTTATATCCTATTTATGGCACTTCCAGCAGATGTTAGGGAGCCTACAGTCTCATGAGAATCAGTCAGTAATCCAGAGGCTTTCTGCAGTTGTTTAAAGGCTTCATATACTCTGTCACTCCAATCAGTGATCTGCAGCATATTCCCACCACAGTGTCATGGCTTCTTTGACTTTAACCCACAAGCTACACCTTAACATCATATGTATCCCTACTCCTTTTCTTTCCTACCTGTCTTTCCTGAAGAGCTTGTATCTTTCCATTATAGATTTCCAGTCGCATGAGCTGTCGTACCACATCTGTCATTCCCATGACGTTGCAGTTTCGTGACTAGAAACAGCTCTTTTTTTCTTGCTGGTTTCTCAGGCTGTATACATGTATGTCTGAGCACATACAGGCCTCTTGCCTCCAGAACCATCACCACTGCAGAAACTCCCAGCACATTGTCTCATAAAAGCTTTTGCAAGGACCAGGTCTAGACTTGTTTACTTAACATCTGCTACAACAGCAAAAGGCTCCTACTGTGCCGCTTTCGTAGGAACAACTTTTTTTTAGGATGGCAGAATGTTTTTTTGGAGAAAACACAAAGGGTTTTAATTTTATGGTTTTCTGGGTTTTGGGGCACTTTTTTCAAAAGCAGAGTAAAATTCTCTGTAATAGCTTAGAGAATTCCTTATGCTCTAAACTATTGGAGAAAGAAGTTAATTGTTTAGAACTTGTTTGGTATCACATTTAGCAATTCAATAAAGCTTGGAATTGATCTTTTCCACGTGGCTTAGTCTCTGGATACACCATTGTCACTTTTTTGAGCTGACTTGCCCCATTTACTTCATTTCACTAGCCAGGCTGCTATACAACACACTTTTCCATCTCTGACCAATATCAGTGTTTCTCTCTCTTCTCACTGGTTTTTTTGGTGGTTGTTTTTTTTTACAGTTTTCCCAGAAATATATCTAGGAGAAAACTTCAATAGCTAGACAACATCAAGAGAAGGACTTAATCCCTTAGATATGAATGTTATATGTAAAAATACCACAAACAAATCAGTCAGATACTGCCTTCAAATTTTGGTCATCTCATGTTAGAAAAAAAAAGAACTATAAACTAGTCATCGATTCAGATCTCATTATTAATGATGTTGCAAGCTAATATATGAAAGAGTAAAAAGGTTAGTCATTCAAGGATTCAGTGTATCACCCATTATTTGTGGAGTTCCAATGAAAAACACCTTTTAGGTAAAGATATAACAGGAAACAGTTATGATAGATTTTAAATGTGTGCTGGTTTTGGCTGGGGTAGAGTTAACTTCCTTCACAGTGGCTGGAATGGGGCTGTGTTTTGAATTCGTGCTGAACACCAATTTGATAATATAGAGATGTTTCTGTTATTGCTGAGCAGTGCTTGCACAGAGCCAAGGCCTTTTCTGCTTTTCATACTGCCACACTGGCGAGGAAGTTGGGGGTGCATGGGAGGTTGGGAGAAGACACAGCTGGGACAGGTGACCCACACTGACCAAAGGGATATTCCAGACCATATGACATCATGCTCAGTACATAAAGTGGGGGGAAGAAGGAGGAAGAGGGGGATGTTTGGAATTTGATTCTAGGAATACATAAAGCAAAACTTACTAACTTTGCACTAGAGAAGCTATAACTGCTGTGTGTGACCTGGAGCAGAGACCTTCTCTAACCCATTCAGCTGCACTAAAAGTGCTTAGCAAGGCCATATAGTAGGCTTCAGCTGTAGATCTGATATATTACGTGTTTGGAAAGAATTTGCAAGCTACACTTTAAGGAGCAGGCTCATGATAAAAATGAAGCCTCAACAAACTTCTACCATAAACAGTCTCCACTTGACACAGACTGGTATTTCATTCTGGAGCCATACCAAGACAATACAAACAATTGGCAAGTCCTTCAACATCAAGGCAAACAGTTGAGTTTTTATTACTCTTCCAAAAACACAATAAGGTATAGTTTACAAGGTCACAATCTCTTTTTTTCAGAGTTATCTTAAGAAAGCTGTAAAGAAAAAGAAATATGCACACAACTTTAAAACATCTTTTAACATTTTCTTATTCTGAAGTAGTCGATCTGGTTTGGCTGTCCAGCACACACCAGAGTGACTCTAAAGTGACTGAGCTTTAGCATGCACCAAGGTTTGGGATTTGGAGGTCTTTATCAACTTCTGTCATGATATTGCCTTCCTATTTTTGCAATAGTCTCTTTCCAACCTACAATCCTCCACAGGGCATAAGTCAATCACTAAACAGCTCTGTATCTTCTCTCTATTCAGAGGAGAGCATACACCTATTTTTTTTTACTTAAAAAAAAAGTATTCTGTCATGGAAATGGATAGCACAAAAATCATGTTCCAAGCACTTTATAGTAATTTTATTACTCCTCCTCATCTAAAAAGAGCAGGAGAAGCCTTCACAGGTGACCAACACCTGCTGTGTTCTGTTCCAGGTCAATCCAAAGACTTACTAGTCTATTTCTCAGCAGTGTCATACCACCATTGTTAGTAGGGAAGGCATTCTAGGAGAAACAATCTTGATGACTTCTTGACCCACATGAATTGGCTTTGGAGTAGCAATTGTAACCTATTCCTTCAACATTTTAATCATAGGCACTCTGAAAGAACACTCAGAAGTCATATATATCTGTATCTATCTCTCTCTCTATAGTTTTAGATTCTGTAACTGAATCCTAACATCTAAAATGACAGTGTTTGAATTCCTGAGTGGTTGGTAGGAAGTGTGAAATTTTGCTCCTTCCCTAGAAAAGCAGGATGTGTGGTGAATAACAGACAAGGTGAAAAGACCTGTCCCCTCTAAACAAGCTCTAGTTTATTTCATGAGCTCTGTGGGTGCTCTTAACACAAATGCAGAAATTTCATGTAGTTCTTTTGTTGATGTGCTGTGTTCTGTACTTTCTATTCTGGTTAGACTTTTATTCCTTGCCATTTTTTAAAACAATCCAAATGTACACCTTGAGAAAGCTATTTCAATAACTGTTTACTAAGAAAGCCATTTTAAGATGTAAAAGGTAACCTGAAAAAAGCTAGCAACTAGGAATGCAGGCATGTTTGTGGCTAATTATTCTTTCCTCAGTATGGATTAGAACTCTTTAAATATAACTTTTAAAAAAATATTTCTAGACGGTGACGTTCCTTGACCAACAGGGTGTTTTCTTAATAGGAAACTGACTGACTTCACACACTGTGATGCTTGCTAAAGACCTTATTGTGCTGAGACCAGCTGAACTTTGATTAGTGCATAATACAAGTACGTTGTCTTCAAATAATATAAAAAATACTAAACTAACATTTTATACTCTATATGTAGTGTTACAGTGATAAGAAGCAAAAGGTAGAGGGTCATGGCACAGTGCAGATTAAAATTTAGTCATGCCCTTGCCCGCACTGCATCTTTTACACCTGACATAACTGGGCACACTATGCACTTTTAAAAGATGGGGGGTTTCTAACATGGCAGGTATTTCTGCAAATACAGTAGGAATAAGATATGATCAGGTGTTTGTAGTGTTAGAAAGAAATGTACTATTGTCAAAAAGAAGAAATACAACAAAGCAACTTGCAAAAATTTTATATGCAATTATGAAAGGGCTTTTGTGTTACTGCCCTCAAAGTTTATTTTTTAGAAATGCCTGAGCATTTGGGTTAGAACTAGAGCTATTAGGCATCTGGCACCAAGCTAAAGGCTGCCATTCAAAGTCTGCAGCAGCCTACAAATGCTAGCCTGAATCCAAGCTGTTTCCTCAGCTCTGTCTTCCTTTCTGCACAAGAGAGAAGCAGATTGCTTTAAGTTCATTATTGAAAACCTTCCTGTCATCTGCATTTCCAAAAACTCTGGGGACGGGAGGAGCACTTCTGTGCATGGGGGAAAAAATAAAAAGGCTTGTACACAAATTTGTGGTTGCGTCTGAGAAACATATAACCCAGCAAACGATGTCTACAAACCTTGCAAAACATTGCTTTTCTTTAAACAGTGAAGAGCTATCCAGTATTTTATTATATAATCTTTCCTTATGCTATCTTTCTCCTTCTTAGACATTTCCAGGCTCACCTCCAGAGTTCACTTTACATGTGATCCTACAAAACCTACCATCTGCATGCTGCTTTGAAAACTAGAATATGACATCTAGCGGCAATTTAATAAATTGGAAGTTCATCCATCACCAAAGGGACAAATTCGAGCTAAATCCTTCAGATTGCATTCCAGCATTTACTATATAAATGTTACAAATAAGTTACAAATCACAAGATACCTATGAACTAATCAGAAAGCTATGACTAGTCAGTGCAACTTTCTGAACCTTAGTCGAATTGGTCTTCCTTCTTCTCTGCTGATATTTTATTATTTTATGACAGAGAATAAAACATCCCCTATGCTCCATTTAGTGTGAGGCTTCTAGAACAACAAATAGCTCCAGTTAGCCAACTGAACCTAAAGAAAGAGCTGTTTGAAAGATTTTTTTTCATAGTGGAAGAGCTGAAACATATATTTTAAGAGTATAGTATCTATGTTTTAGTAACCACATTGTTACTGATTCACTTTAACATCTACATGTTGCTTAAAACTGAGTAGCCCAACTGTGCTTCAGCGTAAGCACAATTTCAGTGTAAGTGTACTTTTCAAAGTAGGTTTCCAAAACTGTGTTTTTAGGATGTGGTTACCATAAGGATAGTTTCCACTTCTACAATTTGTTAACAGAGACTGCTGAGGAAGTTGTTGGATCCAGAGAACAGGCGTTTTACACACCTGAACCTGCTGCATTAGGTAACCACACCGGAACTGGAGCACCCTGAACCCTGGCAGGAGAGCAAAGCTCAGCCGGCGAAGCTGCAAGCCCGGCTCCGCGCAGGCAGCGAGCCGCGGTGACCTTCCTGACCTTCCCCCGCACCGCCGCCGGCCTCTCTGTTACCTGCAGCCGCATAAACTCCTGCTGCCCTTTCAGGCTGTCGTTCATGGCCTTCGAGAAGATGAACCCCATGGTGCCCTGGAGCGGAACAGACACCGCACAGATGACGCCAGTGTGCCGGGAAAGGCGAGGGAGGCGGGGGAAAGACTCTCCCGGGAGGAGCCTTCCCCAGGTCCCGCCCTGCGGGCACCGGGCCCTTTTTTTTTTTTCTTCCCTTTTTTTTTTCGTGTGTACACAGACTGTCTCAAGAAAGTGGAGGAGTTCTTTCCACATAAATGTACACACAGGCTCTGACAGGCTCACAACGCGGGAGTGATGCATCCGGGTACTAAGTATAAATCAGCAAGGAGAGGAATTGAAAATGCCTTTGGCACGCTTCTTATCTTGCTCTGCCTTTCATCATGTGTCAGAATGTTTTCATGGCATCATCATCCATAACTAAAGGCTGGGTTTGATATCCGAAGAAATTAAATTTTCATAATGTAAAAGTGTTGAATCAGAAATTATGCTCTGTCAATTGACTCTAAAGCAGTGATACAAATAAGGGATAGAATTTGCAGAATTCTTTTGGCACTAAAGAGTGTCGTGAGATGATCATTTTAAGGAACTTGGGGGGACAACCTAAACGTTCCAAAATCTGCCACAGACCTTTTCTGCTCACAGTATCAAAAGCCTTGGTGAGGTCAACAAAGGTTACATAGAGACCTTTGTTCTGTTCCCTACACTTCTCTTGCAGTTGTCTGAGGACAAATATCATGTCTGTGGTGCTCCTGTTGGCTCTGAAGCCACACTGACTTTCAGGAAGGATTCCTTCTGCAATAGTGGGTATTAGTCTGTTCAAGAGTATTCTTGCCAGGATTTTTCCAGCAATCCTGGAATCTACCGCCACCACCTGCGTCTCCTAGAACGCTTCCATCAACGCTGCCTCCGTTCAATCTTAAACATCCACTGGTCAGATTATGTGACCAATACTTCTGTTCTAGAGCAAGCAGCTGTCACAAGTATTGAGGCCATGTTACTGAGAACACAGCTGCAATGGGCAGGGCACGTCTCAAGGATGAAGGACCACCGCCTCCCTAAGATCCTGCTCTATGGTGAACTTGCCACTGGCTGCCGCATGAGAGGAGCCCCGAAGAAAAGATACAAGGACTCCCTGAAACAACATCTCAGCCTTGGCCATATTGATCACCATAACTGGTCTACTCTGGCCTCAAATCGGGAGGCCTGGAGACACACCATCTATAACGCAGCTGTCTCCTTCGAGAACACACGCAGGATCACTCTCGAAGAAAAAAGGCAGCGCAGAAAGAACCGTAAATTGCAGAATACACCACCTAAGGAGTCTTTCTGCTGTGCCTTTTGCAATCGTTTATGTCTGTCACGTATTGGCCTCATAAGCCACCAGCGTGCCTGCAGCAAATGTGGATAGAGCCTTCCCAAATCTTCGTTCGCGAAGCCTCGCCATGATGATGAAAGAGTGTCGTATTAAAGTTTCAAACACGAATCTATGAAGACATATGGAACCTCAAATACCACCTCATATAGAAATCTGACATCTCACCTTACCACAAGAATGAATGTTTTTCCAGAAACAATGTCTTCTCGTTCAAGATTCAGATGTAGTGAGTATGACTTAAATACTTATATCTGCTGATGTCTTGACCTCCAAATATTGTTCTTGTTAATACTTATTTTCTAAATGCAAATTTTTGAAAAAGTTCTGGGTTTGAAAAAAAAAAAAAAAGAGAGACTGAGAAGACAGCCATCTTCCCATTTTCCCTATTTTTTTTCCCTTTTTTTTTTTTTTCACCAGCACAGCAAAAGTGAGAGAAAAGTAAGGAAAAAGTAATAGTTTTTCTATTGTGGAAAATTTCTGAACATTTTTACTTCAAGTCTTTCCAAGAACTTGAACTTTTTTAGTGATATTTTGAAAATGCCTGTGACTTTTTACAGTATTGAAAAAGAATTTAATTTCTCCATGGGTCTCTCATGCAGCAGAGTTCCAGGGGAGAAATTTCTTGCTATACTCCCGTTCCGCGTAAGATGGCAGTACTGCACTGGCAGCCGCTGACAGATATTTCTTTACAGAATCACAGAAATCACAGAATATACTGAGTTGGAAGGGACCCAAAAAGATCACCGAGTTCAACTCTTTGCCCTGCAGCCATTCCCAAAAGTCACACCATGTGCCTGGGAGTATATTCCAAATGCTTCTTGAACTCTGTCAGGCTTGGTGCTATGACCACTTCCCCTAGAGGGTGATTGGGCACTGGAACAGGCTCATCGGGGAAGTGGTCACAGCACCAAGCCTGACAGAATTCGAGAAGCATTTGGATGATACTCTAGGGCACAGGGTATGATTCCTGGGGATGGTTGTAGTGCTAGGAGTTGGACTTGATGATCCTTTTGGGTCCCTTCCAACTCAGCATATTCTGTGATAATGGGGCAGAAGATTTCAATAATACAAGAATAGAGAAGGGGGAGTGAGGGGGCAGGAACTGTGGCTAATTGCTAGGGAAATGGGACTGGTTTCTTGAGAAAGGATTAAGGACTTAAGAAGTAGCATAGGAGAATGGAAACTAGTTTCGATGGGGCATAAGAAGCTACTGTGGTTTATGCATGTAGAAGGAAGACAGGTTTGAGCTGCACCAGACTACAGACACTGGGGAGGAGTCCATCTGCAACAGGGGCTGCAGGTCTTGTCTCTCCTTGCTGATACTCACTTGCTGCTTCAGACATGAACTGAGTTACTGGTTTCACTTATGTTGTAAATATTCATGGCACCACACTGCGGAACATTGCCTGTCCTGTTCCAGTTCCCAGTTGGTCAGGTCATAATATGGAGATTACAGAAAAAAATCAGACAGCATCACATATTGCTGCACACATGGTGCTGTTAAATTGCTGGTATTTCTGAAGGCAAGCAGTATTTCATTACTTCAGAAAGCTGTAGGTAGTGCTGCCCTTACAGAAGACCCATGTGCAGTCGTAAAGACATTTTGTACTAATGCCAAGCTGGCAGCCATTAGCCAGGCAGTCATGTCTCCTTTGTTCTTGCCATCCTTTTAAAAAATACTTAAATTATAAGATGTATTTTCTCCACAGAAGTTTGTCCAAAAATAAATAAGTCCTGAAAATTTTGGATGTGGCACTTAACCAAAAAAAGTAGAGTAAACTGAAAATGGAAATAATTATAATTTGTGCCAATGCAGGTGTCTATTGGATAAGTTAAATGTGATTTTTACATTACGAGAAAGAAAAAGGAACATAGAATAAGAACCAGAAGAAATGTTTGAAAGAAAACAAGCACTCTTTCTCTTATCTTTATATGTAGTACACTTGGATGCATCAGTTTGAATTTTACCATAATGATTTAGGTATAAGACAATTCATTAAGTGCTTCAGTTTCAAAATCCATATTAAGAAGAGAGAGTATCATGCTAGAGATAGCCTGTAGAATTAAAATATGGAAAATAGGTTACACCTGTATCAGTTTGCCTGATTGATTCCATTGAACTGAAAATATTATCTACAAAATTAAATTCCAAAATCTAACAATCAAAACAGTTAAATAGTTTGAAAGAAGTGAAGATCAATGCCCTAAACTCATAGTATTTAGCAAGCCAATTACCATAGCATATTCACTTGAGTATTCTAAAAGTCTATTGACTGTAAACAAAAATGACTGTAATACATTTTTAACCCCATGATAATTATTTTTTTAACTTGTGACAATAACTTTTATTTTAGATTTCTAATATCTTATGTTAATTAAAAAAAAAAAGGTGATTGCTTCCTTGAAGATTTTTACGGTTTGTTTTACTATTCAACTTCTGAAAATAGGAAACGTGTGAATATATTTAGACATAAACTTTGAAAATCCAAGCACCTATAAGGACAAAGATAAAGCTTTAGCTTTGACAGAGCATTTTTTGTTTGCTACAGAGGAAGTCCCCATGTTATCTAATCTTCTTAACTAAAGCATTTATCATAAACTAGAAGCTTCCTCTTCATTCTGGGAATGTTTTTGCAGTAATTGTTTGTTATTACTGTAAAGAAACTTCTCAGTCTGGTTTGTGACTGTTTTGTAACTTTATGTATTAGAAGTAACTTTATAAGTAAATTTACCATTTACAAATGTCATGTTTATTGCTCAAAAATTTGAAGCTTATTAAAATATGAGCTTCCTTTGAGTCCTTTATTTTGGTTCCCACCTGCCTTGAGGCTTCTGTGCTTCTCTGCACTTGTGGAGATGGGTCTCTGTTGTGCTGATATCCCCTGTGAAGGCCTGTGAGCAGCTGGGGCAGCAGGACCCCATTGTCTCTCTGGGTGGAGGGGAGCTTGTATTGCATTACCTAACATTCGACATCCTTCTCTCTGAGGGGCTCATGTTATATGGTTTGGAAGATTTGAACCCAATCAAACCAATCTTTGTCAAACACCTCGACAGCGTTGTCTATATCAACAAAAAACCTGATGATTTCAAGGTAGGGATTTCAGTGACTTCTCAACCACCAGCTCACTTGTAGCCTATAAAACCATTAATTACATGTTGCGGGTGGCAGTACCTGATACTTAGGGCATAGAGACCAGGGGGGTTTAGATGTCCTTCCTGATGCTTAGGGCACAGAAAGCGTAAGGGTTTGGACGTCCTCCCCCTCTTTCAGTACACACCTCTGCCTCTTGCATGCTGCCATGCATTACAAATTTGTATTTGCTTTATATTCCACCCTGTAAATATACTCACGAATAAACTTCTCACAATGGCTCCTTGGTTCTTTGGTAATGTCCTGAGCAACATTCTTATTTCAGGGTTGCTTTCTTTTGGAAAAGTTATGGCAGAGACCTTATTAGAATTATAACATAAGAAGTATTATCTCATAAAAGAAACCCTATACCACACTATATTCCCAGATTGTATTATCAGGTTATTAAACTGGAGTTTTATCCCCCAGGAGGATCTTTAAGTGGACAGGAACAGAGCTATTTAAATAGCTCCCAGACTTTACCGGTATCTCGGATGCTGTATCATCAGCCACATTCCCATCCTTTGACACAGTCATCCGCCACCTAAGTAGCAAGCCATCCATTTGGGAAGTGAACAATATGATTTCACTATGCTAAAAAGAAAGAAAGAAAA